GTCCTATATGGTTGGCAACGGGATTTGAAGGTGATCTCATCACTAGTGGTATCGTATTTGTGAAAAGCCAAGGTTTCTGAAAGGGGTTTTGTAAGGAAAATTTCAGGATCATACTGCATCAGGAAACAACTTATTGCCTACCTATAGGTGATTGCTTTCTTTGAATTTTTTCAAACCATTATACATTTCCAAACCAGGATGCTTTTGGTGTGTTAAAAGGATTTTGAATTGGGAGAGATTCCATCTTGAGTTGTACTAATAATTTAACTCCACAGCATCCAACAAAGAAGGCTTTATTCTTGGATCATGTCTAGAGATCATAGTCCAAACTGGAGTAGCCAGAATATTGGCCTCCATATGAGATGTTGTTTAGAACACACTTGAGACGTTGGGATGTACTTGTGTACTGAGGCTGAGAAGTGTTAGCCTACATTTTATCAAAAATCCATTTATTAAATACCCTACAGCATTGTACCAGGAATGATAAAAAGCAAAACAGACATTCAGGGCCTGTCTGTATTTTGACCTTTAAGTGCTTTCTGCCTCCTCACCTTTCTTCCCACCCGTGGCTGAGCTAGGGATGAGAAACCCTAGGTCAAGAGTTCACTAGCTCAGCCTCAAGTCAAGGGGGAGTTGCCAGTCCTTCTTTGACCTCAGGGCTACAGCACCTGCATCCAGAAGCACCCAAGATCCTGGGGATCACTTTAAACTTTCAACTAATGTCAGCTATTACCTCCTTCCTCCCCAAAATACCTGTTCTCTTCTTACCTTCCTTCCCCACCCTCATGAGACTGATCTCCAGGAGTTACATCTCTTTGCGGACTTTCATGTCTGCATGCTTGTCAATAGTTCAGAAACATCTATTTCATTCTCCAGTTACACTTTACATTTGCATACCCCTTTTCACTTTTCAGAGTATTTTCACCTATTTACCCTTGTGGAAGACTCTCCATTTCCATGAGAGTAGCCTAGGCAGGTGGTATTGCCCCATTTTATCATTGAGAGTGCTGTAGCAAGAGAGGTTAACGACTTAACCAAGATGCAGAGGGGACTTTACAGCTCGTACTTTAATCTTGATCATTAGAATCTAAGTTCTGTTGATGATTCATTATAATGCTTTTTTTTTCCTTAGAGAAAACCCATAAGAAAGGTAGAATCTAGTGATGGAAAATGAGCAGTAGTATAGTAAATATATATATATGTGTGTGTATATATATTGTTCTTGGGTGCATACATAGCAGCTTTGTCTGAATGTTGTAGCCCTTTTGGCTTGTCCACCTAATAGAGGAGAACACCTTACGAAGAATGCCCTTTGGGACATCGGAAAATAACACCCCTGAAAGGGGTCTAGGAGAAATCTCTTTCTGGGAAGATTCCATTGTACATAATTCATAGGCTCTCAGGGTTGGAAGAGACAATACAAGTCATCTGGTTCCCCAGGTGTTTGATGGTTAAATCCTTAGTTAGATCCCGTCTGAATACTTGAGGGCAGTCGAGTGATTTTGAGGAACAGTCTTTTTTATTATATATAACCCTTCATGGCTTAAAAATGTTTCTTTGTTCTACCAAACTAATTAAGTGAATTGTTGATTATTCAAAAGGAAGAGTTGGGGTTTTTTTTCTTGGGTCATCAGGATTTTTGAAATGTTCTGTTTGAAACATCTCCTTCAGTATGTGTTAGCTGCTATGAAAATTGCATATTTAGACATCTGTTTAATGCTATTGTTTAATGGAATGTAATTTTTTTTTTAATGTGACTAAGTGATGGTTGTTTTCCTTTCTCTCAGTGTTTCCCTGTCTTTATTTACAAGCTAAATGCCAGTTCCTTCCAGAATTGTTAACCGTTTATTTATGTTTTATTTGCATAATGTGCACTGGGGTGCATGTGAGTGTTTTCACTTCTTTTGTGCTTTAGCTAGAGATATTGAAGAGGAGAGGGAGGGTTTGAGATTAGATTTTTGGTGAAAGTTGTTGGAGGACATATAATGAACCTAAGGCACTTGAAAATTCAAGAAGCAACAACTAGAGCTGATTGTTGTTCCTCTTTGTCTTTGAGTGGGAATGGATGCTCATAGTGATGGAGTGTCAATTGCCTGTGCTGTACCATTCCTTAGCAACTTGCACTTATAAATCGCCATTTTGAACTAGTGTTTCTTAGAATTTAAAAAAAAAAAAGGAGGGGGCATATAGACTTATACCCTGTAGTCACTATATACAGCTCTAACTTCTCTCCTAAAATCGTGGTCACATAATATTGTGGCCAGGAGAGTCCTTGTGGGAAGCTTCAAAATTCATTGGGTTTATATATATGGTGGTAACAGTGTATCTAAGAACGTTAGATTAGAAATAGAACATTCGTTATAAACTCTTGGGAAAGCTTAGCGATTTCAACTTTACACATTTGCAATATAAGTTGAAATGAATTTTTTTTTTTTTGCCCATAAAGACTCACAAAATCTCTTTAGTTCCTACTGAACTCTAAGCTTTTTCTATAGATGCAAATAGTTCTAAGGAGAGGCTTGAACTGAGGTGTGTGTGACGTTCTGTTACAAATGTCTGCTCTGTTTATGGAGCTTCTCTACCACAAGTGGTTTAACTGGTTCCCTGAAGGGAGTGGAGAAAGGGTAGTCCCAGAAGGTCAAAAGATTAACATTTCCCCACAAAGTTTTTGGTAGAAAAATCAAAGACCAGGTGACATGGAGTAGAAATATAACCAAATATTCTGCAATTTGTAAATTTTCAAAGGGCTTCCTTGTACAAAATTTCAGGTTTGTGTTTGTGTGTGTGAGTGTTTTAAACTCTGTGGGGTAAACATAACGGGTATTATTATCCCCATTTTAAAACTTAAGGGAAGCAAGTCTGGGTCATAGTTTAGTTTTCCCCTTGTCGCCTGATAGGTGGCTCTGGGGCCAGAGCCCAGATGCTGGGATTTGACGTTCATTGCATGGTTTCCTTTGCTTTCCTCAGATACCTTCCCCTTGAGCCTGGAGACTGTACATTTCAGAGTCTTTCTACTTACATTTCAAGTGGCAGCTGGGAGATCAAGGCAGTGACACTGGGATCTGTGTGGCAGATGGAAGGCCGACAGGTCCTCAGGGGCAGAGCAGGGTAGACAGGTCTCCACATGGTTCATTCATTTGTCCCTTGGTGTGACGCTCCTTTTTGTTAGCTGTTCCTCTTGAGTTTCACCTGCACATTCAAATTCTTTCCCATATTTTCCTTGCTGCTGCTCTCTTCTACCTACCATTCTTCGTAGTGCTGGAGACCATTTGGCACAGTAACTCCTAGAGCAAGTGCCTGTATACCCTCTCTTGAGCAAGAAAGTGAAAGTTAAAATATATTTATATTGCAGTTAACTGAAGTGGAAGGTGACTTAAGAGGACCTGCTCCCAGATATGTTTTCTTCTCCAATTCATACTAAATCATCTTTTATTCCCTAATTCGTACTAAATCGTGAGCATTTCCTATGTCTTTAAACATTACTTGAAAATATTTTTCATGATTCTTCAGCATTCCATTGCATGAATTTAGCATAATTTATTTACATGTTCCTCTGTTTTGGATATTTAGGTAATTTTCTGGATTTTTGGATATTTAGGTAATTTTCTGGATTTTTTTTTGTGTGTGATGAACATCATAGGAAAAAATTGCCTCCTTGGAGAAGGGAATTATTAGGTACTTGAAGAAATACAAATCTGGTTTAAATGGTTTGCCCTAGTTATTGATTCATTAGTCCGTTATGACAGTAATTTCAGTCAGATAAATACACGATTGTTTTTCTGAAATAATACAATTGTGATATTTTATTTTTGTGATGGGGAAAATGAATAGAGATGATTAATGAAAGGAATAGATTTCACAATTAGGCCATCAGTATTCTGACCGTAGAATTTATTTAGTAGTTAAGCTTTTATAAAAGGTTGGTGCAAAGGTAGTATTTTTAATATAGCATGTTGATATACAAATGTAGACATTTGAAAAATTCAAATCCAATTATACATAATCATCACTTCATAAGAGTCTTTAATTCATTGACTAGTTTATGTATTTTGGGGGTATCCTCCTCAAACATTTGTGCTTGACTCTTTTTCATCATGAATATAGAAAAGAGATCACCAATTATGAGGAAATTGGTAGAAATTGAAGAGCCAACTTTTGGATTTCTTGAGTTTTATCTTCTGGAGCTATGGCCTTCAATTTCCTGTGGGTCTGTGGGGATGGATTGGGAGGGAGAAGGAAGGAGTTAGTGGTCTCCATAATGCTATCAGTCTCTCTCCTGCCTTCTCAGTCTGACTCCCATCTCCACCCACTGTCCAAGATCCCAGGTGCAACAGGCAATGGGTAGACCAAGTTTGTCCTTGGTTATCTCCCTCTCCTCTCTGGATTTCTTTCTCCCTATCCAGTTTCTTCCTTCCCCACATTCTACTCAAACCTCCTAATCATAGCATCCACTAAGGCCCATCATTTTGGCAAAGTCTCATTCTCTCAAATTGTCTCTGACATTAGCTTTTCCAGGTATATTTGCTATTAAGAGTGTTCTTAGATAAGTCCGTGCCTTGTTCTTATTTGGATTTCATTTGGCTAGCTCAGCATGAGGGTCAGAGAGTTCTACTTTTGGGTGAACTTTGAGGGAGAGGACCACTAAGTAAAAATGGAACTGGGAAGTCAGATAAGTTTAAAAAAAAAAAAAAGTAAAGCATTCATACAAACGAGTGTTTCTTCTTTTCCCAGTCTATGGTGGATAAAATGTGTGAGCATACAGGAATTTGACTTGTTGCCTTGAATAAACTCAATATTCTTAGGTTGAAGTCATACATAATTAATCTCCTGTCTCTACATTCTTTCCAAAGTGATGGCTGTTAGTATTCACACTTGTGATCACTTATATTTCCTGAGAGTCCCAAGACTGCCAATTAAGGAAGAAGAGGCAGTGGTGATCATGTAGCTTTTGTGCTACTGTCATACAGTGGATAATTGTCTTTTTTCTTCTTAACTTCTAGTGCCTGAAACAGTACATGCAGCTGGCAATCCGAGAAGGATGCGGGTCTCCCATCACTTGTCCTGACATGGTGTGCCTAAACCACGGGACCCTGCAGGAAGCTGAGGTATGGATGAGTGCTGTGATCTTCCTCTCTCTCCTGTTGACATTATTTCCTAGGATCTTGACTCTTTAGGTACATCTCTCCCAGGAAGTCTAGGAACAGAATGCAGAGGTGCACTTTTTGAAGGAGTGCTCTATTGCTGCATACCTGTGGATTCCTTATACAAACTGTTGAAGCTGTTCTTTACCTTAGTTCTATTTATGAATGTGATCTGAGTACTGAAGGAGCTCTAGAATAGGCAAAGCTGCTAGAAATCAAATGTACCAAACGTGAGATTTGGAGGTTGAATAGTGAGTGGTCTTGTGATCTTCAATACTTTAAAGATAAACATGACAGATTAGCCACACTTATGACAATAGAAACTCTTGTGATTCTAGCCTGAGATGAACCATTTCCAAAGAGCGGAGAAAGGCCTTTCATTTGATCTTTATTAGGCATCAGAAATGTCTTTTTCAAATGAGCTCTTCTCCCATTTTCTTAAGACTCTAATAGATCTCTCCTCCTTGTTTCTTCAGTCCCCAATCAGTAACTTGCCCTTGAATCTGCTTTTAATCTTCACATCCTGCTTACTTTAAATCGGAAGATAACAGACTCTTGTCCGTTCTTAGGGAGTTTGTAAGCCTCTGAAAGAGGTCCCAAGAAGCAGATAAAATAAGTTATTTATTCAGCAAACATAGCACGCCTGCTGTGTCCCAGGCGCTTTTCTAGTTGCTTTTATAGCCAGTATAGCATCTAATGCTTTTGACAGACTTATGAAATTGAGGCCCAGGGGTTTAAGTAATTTGCCCAAGAGTGCATATCTGAAAAGCAGAAGAGCTAGAATTCTAATCCAGTTCTTTCTGACCACCATAATTACATGACTTTAAGAGTAGAGCTGGGTAGGGCCGGCCCTGTGGCCGAGTGGTTAAGTTCATGTGCTCCGCTTCGGGGGCCCAGGGTTTCGCTGGTTTGGATCCTGGGCACGGACATGGCACCACTCGTCAGGCCACGTTGAGGTGGTGTCCCACATGCCACAACTAGAAGGACCTGCAACTAAGATATACAACTGTGTACGGGGGAGATTTGGGGAGATACAGCAGAAAAAAAAAAAAAAGATTGGCCACAGTTGTTAGCTCAGGTGTCAATCTTTAAAAAAAAAAGAGTATAGCTAGGTAGGTAGATAGAATGTATGATAAAGCATTGGTAATTAGAAGCTCAATAGTGTGTATGTGTATATACACACACACATGCTTTGTTGACAAATATGTATGCTTTTACATATATATTCTTTGCTTTAAAAGCAAAGCAGTCAGAAAAATTTTATAGACCATTTCTAACCAATCTGCATCTGGGTGCCCTGTATTCAGCTTATGGAATATCAGCTAGTGGTACAAGCAAGCTTGAAGTATTTTTTAGGGATGAATAAAAGGAAAACATAATGGTTTAGAAGTAATTCATTTTAGGAAAATCATAAAATGAAATTTTTTTGATAAAAGTAATATTGAATATGTAAATCATGTGGTGAGAAATATTGTTTACTTTTGTGTGAGTAGTGAGTAAAAGGAAATTAAAGTGGGGAAAGTGTAGATTAGTTACCAACAACACTCTTGATCTGTACAGCTTGGAAATGGTTTTTAAAATGAGATTCAGATATTCAGGAGCATCTTTCGATGCATAATCCTTCCAGGAAAGATGCTTCCTTTTTGACTCGCTTCTCTCATGTCTGATCAGTCACAAAGTATTTATTAAGAGTGCACCACCATATATATGTATATCTCAAATCATTATGTTGTACACCTAAAACTAAGACAGTGTTGTATGTCAATTATATCTCAGTAAAAAAAAAAAAAAGTGCGCAATGTGCCAGGCCACATTCTAGGCCAGGATCCAGAGGTGAACAAGGCAGGCCCAGTGCTATCGTCACGGAGCTTCTGATCTACCAGAAACACATTAAACCAATCAATCAGATAATTATAAAAGTGAAAAGCATGAGATGGAGCAGACAGGAAGAGCTGTGTCTGGTATGAAATCTTATTTAATTCATATATCCAAAATCTATTAAATATAAATGAAATGAATAGTTTGATGAAGTTTCAAAACAAGGCTTTGAAATTATTCACAGTCCTATATTCCAGACCCGTGCTGTCCAATCTGGAAGCCACTAGCTACATATGGCTATTTCCATTTAAATTAATTAAAATTAAAAATTCAGTCCTTTGGTTGCACTAATCACATTTTAAGTGCTCAGAAGCCACGTGTGGCTAGTGGCTACCAGACTGGACAGCACAGAACAGAACATTTCCCTCGTTGCAGAGAGTTCAATTGCAGAGTGTTGCTCTAGACTTTTAAATGAATGGTAGCTATTGGCCATGGACACTTTGACATCAAACGTTAGGGCTGGTGTGTTCAGACAAGCGAGTATAGACAGGCCATGGTTTGTCTTGCAGCTCTCTAGAACAGAGTTTAACTTTTCTTGTTTTCTTAGTGTGGACATTTTCTTCTCATATCCTCCTGAAGTTCTGCTCTCCTCTTTAATCCTTGCCTGCTTCCCCTTATATACATTCTCATTCACACTCTCTTAGTTCTAATTCCATTTACCCAGCTTGACTCTAAAAACAATTTTACTTTTAAGCTGTATTAAAACCAAGCAAACCCATCATGGCTCTTAAAAATTACAACAGGATATTTGAAAAAACAGATCAAAAACATATTCCAAACTGCACTATGGTATTTCTTAAATTCTCCAAAGTCTGTTTCCCATCAGGTGAGTAAGAAGACACTCCAGGGCATTAAAGGGCCATTTCTGTGCTCATTGGTTTTGTGAAGAGCCTGACTGAAGATGGGCATGCATGTACAGTAATCAAATGTTCCCAACCAACTTGCCACTATTTTTTTTTCAGAGTGAAAAAATGTGGTGGTGGTGGTGGTGGTGATTGTCTCTCATTTTGAATTGAGAAATGTGTAGAAGGTCATATTGGAGATAGTGGTAACATCATCAGTTTATATAGGACTACTCCTTTCAAAGCAAATGCCACATACTCATGAACTTGGGCTGGACCATCTTCTTTTCTGACTTGTTTGACAGCAAGCTTTCCTCCTGTATAACTGTTGTCATAATATATAGCTCTTAATCTGGTTATTATCGAGTATATCACAATGGGGTTTTTCCGTGCTATGCTTGACTAGATTCTTCTCTATGACTACTTCTTCCCACTTTTAAAAAATGTTTGATTATATGGGTAATACGTAAATATACTTTGTTTGTTAAAAATAATTCCGGTTAAGGCTCAAGTTCCTTTTGTGCTGCTACTATTTATATTGCAATATATGATTCTTCATCATTCATTGTCTTATAAAATGCATATAGTGTAACATTTATTCATCTTCAAAGGACACCAGGAATTAAGCTCTTTCCTCCGAATGCTTTTCTGTGTAGGTCTTGCTCACCCAGTTGGCTGTGCTCCATGTGTCGGTCTCCTGCAGGCTTTAGGTCCTGCCTGCCTTCTTAATGCTCCCAGGTTGGCTCTGCTGCGGCTCTGCCTCTTGACTTTTATTTATTAGGGATAGCTTCATTGGCAAAGCCTTTAACGTCCAATTCAAGTACCGTTTGCTTCATGTAGGAAACAGGAGAAAAGGCAGCTTCCCGTCAGCATCATGGAAGCTGATGGAGGCAGTGACTCTGGAGACCTGTGGCTGGAAGTGCACCCACTGGGAACCAGGAAAAGGAAAACTTTCCTTTCTTGCGTCATCTGGTCCTTTCAGCTGTTGCTCTGCAGGGCTTCTCTAATGTACTTGATCCAGGAATCTTGTCCAACATGGAATTATGAAAGACAGTACACGGATTGTTTGTTCTGATAGCATTACTTCAGCCAAGGCCTTTACGTGAAGTGAGTAGCACTGTTAAAAAGGTGATGATGAATTTAAGCAGTTCTCTTACAGTGTTAGGGAAGTAGCATACCGACACTTGCTGGGAGAGCCTGAACCATTTGTCTGAGCCGTGTAAAATTTGTGTGGCCAGCACATACCGACCATTACATGGCCTGAAAAATTGAACTTCTTCCCAGTGCCAGCTGGCAGTAGAGGGCAGGGAACCGCTTTTCACTCACTAATCTTCCTTCCAAGTAGTGGGGCGCTGAAATGACCAGCCTCCTTTTACTGCCAGCGCCACAGCATGCATCAGAGGGAGGATGGGTGCAGCTGCTCTTGCCAAGAAGGGGGCTCCAGAATCTCTATACGAAGGGCTTTGTGGGGGCGCATTGTGGAAGACTAGGATAGAGTGATGGGCGGGGCAGGGTGCTAAGAAATTTGAAGCTACCTTTGCAAAATAAACATAGTTTGTACTTATATTGCAAAGGGTGGCTTTTGTAAAGGCTGCTGGAGATCCAAATATTCCCCCCAAATCACCCTTTAGCCCTGCCTCCACTCACCATCTCTTCTTTTAGCACTCTTTCCATTATCACTGTGTGAAGCTGGGGCAGAGGGAAAATGAGGATGCCCAGGCTAGTGGCCATATTTCTGTTACTATGGTTTAATGATCTGAATGGGAAGGCACTGAGTGTGTCTGTCATAATCTTTGGCTGCAGTATGTGTTGCCTGGAGCAGAGTAAAACTTTGGGGTGGCAAAGGACAAAGGACTCTGCTATGCCAGAGTTAATAGATATTTTTGAGGTTCCCAACTGAATATTGTTTTAGAATGTGTTTAAAACTTTGTTTTAAAAATGCACGTAAGTGGAGAATAATGTTTCTTGGCTGCTTCATTAACTAAAGGCAAATATAAGCAGACTAAGCAGTAACGGATTGAAGGTGTCACATGGATGTGCTCTTGGGCATATCCCTTTTAGATGAGCGGAGGGAGGAAGGCAGGGGATGATGTGGGGAGATGTGTAGAACAGGTGAAAGAAGAATAGCAAGAGCAGCCCTCTGCAGAGAACTGTGGAAAGGATTCCTGGCCTGGAATTCCAGGTCTCCGCCACCTTTCACTTCCCCAGTGGGCTGTGCCTTCAGGCTCTCAGACAGTGATGGCCTCTTGCTTTTTCAGCCAGCTTTTGGTGTAAGGAAACTTGAGTTTGGCTTGTTGCACTCAGGTGAATGAGTGAGTGTGCCTTTTTTCTTTTTCTGATAGGAAGTGTGGTTCTTATTTTCTGGGCTGAGATAGGAAACATTCTTAGTTTATGTATTAGTGTGATGAGACGCTTAAATCTGTAAGTCTAGTACTATTTCTTTTGCCGGGATTTTTAAATTTTTAAATGAAGATTTTTTTGAAGAAGAAGATTAGCCCTAACATCCACTGCCAATCCTCCTCTTTTTGCTGAGGAAGATTGGCCCCGAGCCAACATCCATGCCCATCTTCCTCCACGTTCTATGTGGGACACCTGCCACAGCATGGCCCAACAAGCGGTGTGTAGGTCTGTGCCCAGGATCCGAACCAGCAAACCCTGGGCTGCCAACTCAGGGAGCGTGAACCCAACCACTATGCCACCAGGCTGGCCCCTTTTGCTAGGATTTTTGCATGTCATAGTATCTCAAAACTTGCTAAAATATTAACATGCTGTAATGATCTACCAGTGGTCAATTCCCTCTCCAAATACACTGATCTGTTGTATTCTCCATTTGGCCTGTTTCTTTAATTTTTAAAAGTGCTGTAGCAGAGGTATGATTTAAAGGGCCAAACCTAGGTAAATAAATAAATAATAAACAAATAAATGGGGGAGAAGGGACAGCTCTTCCTTACAGTAGAATTCTAATTAACAAATACAGAATGAATGATGGAAATGAAAAATCATCACTAAGAAATCACCACAGTAATAATTACTGTAGGCAAAAATTATCAATAGATATGACAATTAGTGAACAAAGGTACAATGAGAAACAGGATATTTGCAGAATCTCAAAATATCTCCCTATACGATACTTGTCGATTACGAAGGATGAAGAAATCTGGCAGATAGCACCTTAACCAAGTTAAAAAGTTAATGTCACCAGTAACGAGACAGGTTGTCTTCATGTACTTCCTCATGGCCCAACAACACTTCTGGGATATTCTTGCCAAAAATGCAGTCTCGACAAGGAGTGTTCTGATATGATTTTGAATTTCTTTGTTGGCAGGAAGAGGATAATTGTATACCACAAGATGCCTCTTTATAATCTTTTATTATTCTCTAGGATTTTCAGTTTTGCAATCAATTTTAAAGTTCTTGTGATTTTCTTTTTTTTTTTTTTTTAGAAAGGAATAGCCCTTTAACCTGTGGCCTCATTGAGCCTTGAGTAAGCATCCTGACATGTTTATTTCACTTTTGTAATTGAGCAATAGTGACTTAGCTCCAAATGACATTGGAACCAGGAATTTAATACTTTGGATCATCTTTTTTTACCAGATCCAGCTTTTTCTCATCTAAAAGCCAGATTTAATAGAAACATTTCAGGAAATTAGTCTATTCTATGAAATCCAATAAATGATAAGATCAAGGAGTAGATTCTTTTTAAAAAAGTTATGTGTATTTCTTACCTTGTGAGTCACTTAAGTTCCTTGGGAGCACCTCCTGTATCTCCTTAACTCATCTGTATCCCCAGGCTTCCAGCCAGTGCTTTACTCATAGTAGATGTCAACGAGTATACGCAGAAGATGCAAGTCTATGTGCTGGGGGCCGGGGAAGAGAGTGGTGTGCTCTGGGGGTTATCTTTACTCCAGAAGGATCAACCAAAGTGAGAAGTGATGGAACTAATTCTTTGTGATCACAAATTTCAATAGAAAAATTGATTTACCTTATTAAGGCTAATTCCCTATAAACCTCTGTCCTATAAAATAATAAATAGGAAATTCAAAGTGGAGTAAGAGAAAAAAAATTAGAGATCTCTGACTTCCCTGTTGGCAGTCATGTGTCCTCTGATGAAATTTATCTTTCTAATTTAAAATTAAACATCCATCTCTACTGTTGTTGACTTTTTATCGCATTAATTCTCGTCATTTTTCTCATTAGCATTTCATCTGTGTCTAAAATATCTCCTGTTTGATTTGTCTCTCGTAAACTGTATTTGACTTAGCTCTTATATAAATTACTTGTCATTGAAAGAAATCAGAATTTTTAGGGGTTGACCTTGAGGGGTTTGAAGAAGGTCTTTATCAGTCTAGAAATGATTTTAGATGGGGGCAAGTAGGGTACAGGACTGTCCCATAGGATCAAACACCTCAAATAGCGTTTTTGGAGGAGGTGTTAAAAATAGATTTATAGAATATCGCTGAGATCTCCCAGGCCCAGATGATATCAGCCCCCAAGTCACTGTGGCACAAAAGTTGAGTAGTATTAGATTATTTGTCGTCCCCCTACAATGAGTCAATGACTAAGTCAGAACCTGAACTCTGATTCCTTAATGTCCCCCATCCCTTCACTTGCCTGCACCTTTTGTCTCCAACTCTGAATTTTATTTGAGATACCTTTGTCTTTCAGGAAAGATGTTCAGGCATCACTATAACAGATGAAACAAAATTACCTTACAGTATAATAAAGGTCTAACCATACTTTAAAAAAATTATGGTAAAATACATATCATACAAAATTAACCATAATTTTTCACAATGATTGCTAAAGAGCTTTTATGTAAGGTGCCAAATGAAAATGCAATATTTTCCCCCCAGCTGGAGTAAAATGTTATAATTAAATTAAATTTATGTTTTACCATACTTTTCTTGGAATGGAGAGGACTGAACTTGCCTGTTTGGTGGTTCTTCATACATTTTAGCTAACTTAGTTTAATTCATTTGCAAAATCAGCAAATTGAGTTTTTTTGTGAGGGGGAGGATTAGACTTTGAATCCCTTTTAAAGTATATTATATTTGTAAGTACAATTTTAGCTGCCTAATTTTTTTACTCTGGTTTTCTCAAAGCAGACTTCCTTCTGTTGGTTGTGAAAACTTCCATCTAGATATATTTTATACCGAAGAATATGTAATGCTTTAGAGTTGGAATTGCCAGGGCTAAGACTGTGTCCTGTATCAACTTGCTGAATGTCTGGAAGCCTAATATCAAATCCTTTCATTTTCTCAGTTATAAATCTTTTAAGCAACATCAATTTACTTATATGTTGACGTCAATGGAATTTTTATTTTTAGAATCCAGTTTAAGAGCCATTAGCTCCTCCTGCATCTGCATTTGAAATGTAATTTAAAAATGATTAATCTGAAATGTCATTTGGTTAAGTATGAATCTTTGTTGTTTACTAGTAAACCTTTGGTTCATATTGCCATTTGAAATGGAAATGGGAGTCTAGCCACAAGAAATATCTTAGGCGTTTCTTTTCTACCAGGACATGAATGGCGGTGAGTGATAACCAAGGGCCCCAAGAAGTGATCTTTGTCAGAAGAACTGATTTTTGTATTGCTTAGCAGGTACTATTCCCTAGGTGATTAATGAAGTTTTCGTAGCTCCTGAGGCACTGTCTGCCTGCCCTTAGTTTTTAAGGGTTCAAAAGTTAGAACTATAATCATCTTAAAATTTCTTAAAGGACTGTAGAGAGAAAAGGAGCATCTTACATACATATACAAAAATAATTTGGAAAGTCCAAAAATTGGGTTGTCTGGTCTTAGTAGCTGACAATAAAAGAATGGAAGGTGATCATTTAGTTCTGTAACTGGCACCTTGAGAGGCGTCTCCCAGCCGTGGCAGAGGATTGGTGATGGTTTGGGAATTGCTGCTTGTGTGACTGCATGAACAGTGTAGAGAAAAAGAAGTTTGCGAACAACTGGTGTAGAAAGGAGGATACAGTAAGCCAAACAAGAAGGAGAGAGCATAAAAGGCTGGTAATTTGGGGCTCTAGGATGACTGAAATCTCATCTTTCTAATGTCTCTGGTTTCAGATTGCCTGTTTGGTACCTGTGGATCAGTTTCAGCTTTATCAGCGGTTAAAATTTGAACGAGGTATGTATGCGTTGTTCTTCTTACCCTGATGGTGAATGTGGTTTTACATGTGTCGTCTGTATACTTACCTACAGGGAAGGTTAAGGCAGCTGTGGGCTGTCAGCTAAGCCACGAGGGTACTCTGAAAGGGGAAATCTGTCATTGCAACATAAAATTTCAGCTTTCACAGCCACAGCCAGAAAAGATGCAGACTAGCAGGAAATAGAACTTTCTTTATGTTGGTTGTTTTGTATTTTCAATTTGGCTCAAGTGAGAGAAGTTCTGCAAAGATTGCATAGTTTCACAATAACAGTATGAAAAAAGAAAGTGACCCTCAAAATGGGTTTTACCACCAATTTTCCCATGCTTGAAGATCACTTCAAATCATTAATCAGCCCAAACATTTTTCTACTCCTTATAATATTCACCATTTGTTCTTTTGATACTACATTTGTAATCATAGTGATGGTTCAGTGTATCATTCTATTGTGATTTACTATGTGTTGGACTAATTTTCTTTCTGACTTTGGCCTTGGGGTAATTTATATAGCTTTTCTATCAATATTGCTTTTTTATCTGTAGCAATTATTTTTTTACTCCTTTTGATTTCTCATAGATCTTTCTTCGGAGCCCTTCCCTCCTGTCACACCCTATTTGTTCTTGAACTAAATGGTCTGTTTTTCCATGTCTAAGAAGTAGGAGAAAATTCTTTCTCCTGGATATCATCAGACTGGTGTGGTCTCATTGATTATATAAAATAAACTCTAATCTAGCATGAACATACAGTTTTCTAATAGCTGACTTTTTAATCTGGATTAATAAAGTCTAGAGGTGAGCGTAGGGGGAAAGATGAACATTTATCTCTCATATGCCAGTAACTTTGGTAAACACAATCACGTTTAGCGCATTTAATTTTTGCAATTACCCTGACAGATAATTCTTACATGAAGAAAGAAAGAAAACCATGCAGGGCATGAAGGGAGTAAGAGTAGGAATACTTGCAGGAGCGTCACAGTGCGGCGTTCACTCTCTAGGGTTAAGGTTTGGTCCAGTCTTGGGCTTATTTTTTTTGGCAAGCCAAAAGCAGATTAATCTCTCATGGTAGCTCATTTAACTAAATTTATAAGACTGATATATTAAGGTGGAATTTACTGAACAATTCCTGGACTGGATTACTTGAATTACACTTTTGCCCTAAAGGAAGATGCAGATAGGAGGGTAGGAAATAGAATGTCGGTGAACATGGAATCAGAACAAGCAGAGTCATGAACTTTAGGTTTAATGGATGAAGGCATAGCCCGATGCATCTGTGTGGATTCTGAGCTAACTAGAGAAATTCATGATAGAGTAGTTTATATTGGCCCCCCTAGTCCATGCATGTGGGCTGATTAGATTGAGCATTATAACACGAGGTGCTGATTTATTGGACGTGGGAGCCAAAGATGATAATGGTATCAAACATCGACCCCGCCTTTCACCCAATATCCTCTTTATCCCACTATCCTCCATTATAAAAATAAATGACTATTGGAACATACACATTCCAAGTATTCACTCCATGGATGGACGTGGCTGGTAGCTAGTGCCATGATTTGAGAGCTTTTACCAAGAGACAGTCGAAGGAGTTAGGTTGGAGTTTCAGGCTTCTTCTTAAATGGTGAGACCTGTCAATCTCACCAGTCCTACTCAGTCATGCGGAACCAGCCCATTTACAGTATTCCCCACCTCTCCTCTCCCACGACCACTGACCTCCTCCCTACCCACCCTGCTGCACATCTGCCCCTTATTCCTCATTGTTTACATTTTACGGACATACTTATGAGCTAAAATGTCTTTTTGTAATTAATTAGACAAATTCTAATAGTACCAGGAATTAAAACTTTCTGTGAGTTGGTTCTCACTGATGAGTATACACTTTTAGTGTATTTTAAAAACAGTGGCTAAGAGCCTGGGTGGGAATGCAAGCTCCACCACTTACTAGCTGTGTGCCCTTGGGAAAGTTACTTAATTTCTGTACCTCAATTTCCTCATCTGTAAAGTGAGGATAATAATAGACCCTGGACCATGGGGTTGGGATGAGGATTAAATGAATTAATACATGTAAAGCACTTCCTTGAGTACTTCCTATGTCTCAGTTTTCAAAATATTAACAGTTGGTAATAAAAATACTAATAACTTAAGAGTAGCACCTTTTACATTAAAGTATATTCAAGTTTCTTCTCCTATTCTCTTTTTTCCAAGACTAGATAATCATAACATTCTCTAGGAAATATCCTCATATTGACATAGATATTATGAATGCCTTGTTATCAATCAAAGGGATTAGAACAGTTGAAATTAGTTGGCTACATCCATCTTTTTTTTCCCTTAGTGTTGTACATTCTCTGAGTTTGGACAAATTTATAATGACATGTATCTACCATTATAATATCACAAGGAGCAGTTTTCATTCATAAAAATCCTCTATGCTCCACCCATTCATCCCTTCCTCCCCCCAACCCCTGGCAACCACTGATCTTTTTACTGTCTCCATAGTGTTGCCTTTTCCAGAAGGTCATATGTATAGTTAGAATCATACGGTATGAAGCCTTCTTAGATTGGCTTCTTTCACTTAGTAATATGCATTTAAGTGCCACATCCATCTTTACGGTAGGAATAGCCTTGCCATAGCAAGGTACACATGGAAAATCATTGACTCTCACTCTTCCCCAGATAGTGCTTGGATAGATGTCACTCACTTTGCTTTGTGACTGGGACTTGTTGAGGTTCTTGTGCTGTTCAATCCTACTTCTGATTGACTTATTTCTTCATTAGGTGTGATGATATATTCAGTCTGGTTACAATCAAGTTGAGCAAGCCTTGGAGCCAGTCTTGTTTATAGGTGGTCTTGCACATCTCTGCTTCGATGCATATAAATTGATCAAATAGTTTTATTTGTACATGGAATTTGTTTTTCCTTACAAGTTCTGGGAAGATGCCCCAGTATAGGTCCCATGAATTGACAATTGATTTTATTATTCCTATCTTATAGATAAAGAAACTGAAAATTGGAGAGGTTGAGATTTGTGTAGGATCACATAGACTGTGTTGCAGCTTCCTCATCTATAAAAATTTTTCAATTCTATAATTTTTTTATTGGGATGAAATATATAAATAAACATAAAATTTACCATTTCACCCATTTTAGGTGTATAATCCAGTGGCATTAAGAACATTCACAATATTGTGCAGCCATCACTACCATCTATTGTCAAAACTTTTATCACCCCATGCAGAAACTCTGTAACCGTTAACCAGTAACTTCCCATTCTCCTTTTCCCATAGTTCCTGATTATCTCTAATCTACTTTCTGTTCTAAATCTTTGGCTAGTGTAGATATTTCATATAAGTGGAATCATACAATATTTTCCTTTTTTGTCTGGCTTCTTTCAGTTAGTATATTTTGAAGGTTCATCCGTGTTGTAGCGTGTATCAGAACTTTCTTTTTCTGGCTGAATAATAGTCTACGTATATATATCACATTTAGTTTATCCATTCATCTGTTGGTGGACACTTGGATTGTTTCTAACTTTTGGCTATGGTGAATAATGCTGCAGTGAACGTTGGGGTACAGGTATCTGCTCGAGTCCCTGCTCTCAGTTCTTTTGGATATTTAGCTAAAAGTTGAATTGCTGGGTCATGTGGTAATTCTGTGTTTAGTTTTTGAGGAACTGCCAAACTGTAAAACTGTGTAAGTTAAGAATACATTTAATTCAACACTTTTACTATTGTGAATTATGGAAGGATGTTAAATTTGGAAGTATGTTAAATCTGGTGGCTGTTTGGTTCAGCTCCCTCGTTTTGTGAAAAAGGAAACTGAGGCCCAGAGACATTTTGATCTTAGGTGATTTTGGAAGGCAATTTGTAATTAAGCAATTCTTCATTATGATCCATTACAAATAATTATTTTTAGAAAATAGACATTCCAAGTAAGAGTAAGTTGAAGTTACTACAGTGCTACCTAATGGAATTTACTGATTGTAATAATATTTATCGAAACCGTATACCTCATGTTTATGTAATAGACTTCGTGTTTACCTCAAACTCCAGGCTTACCAGCTAGGTGACTTTGAGGTCTATGCCATGAAAATATTTTATGTGGAACTGTTTAGAAGGGAATCTTGGGGTGCATTAATGCTAATATTGTGAATAGGTTAAATGACTAACTGGTGGAAGGTAAAACTCATTGACTTGGGCTCTGAGATAGAATTGTAGAGATTTTCGTTGCTCTGAAAAAATGTAGAATCAGATTAGTGGCAGTGCTATATCTTAGTTATAAAAATTATCATTAGTTTTGTTCAATTCTTATTGCCTACCAAGTGCTTTTCTCAGTTTTTAGTTTGTCATCCAGCATTTTAATTGCCCTCTGCTTTATGTTACATATATGATCAGCTTGCCTTTTATGTCTTTGTTTTCATCTAAGTCTTTGTATGGAAAAAACCTTTTGAATAGAAATGGGCCCAAATCATCACTATGTTTACGCAAAGCAGAGAAATGCTGTTTGGCATTGATTGGTTATTCTGTGAATCCACTTTCCATCCATCTGTGACTTTTCCATTGGCTACGACTGTGTTTGCGGCTCTCCCTTTCCATGTCTGTCTTCCAGTATTAACAAAGAAAGGGGAATGCTAAGTTTGGCATGTGTTAGTGATTATTGCTTTACTTTCTACTGGTTCTCAAAGCACATGCCTGATGATTAATGCTAGAATTTTCCTTGTCTCTTGTTTCCAGAATCTTTTTCAAAAATTGGGTTAAGATTATCCATTTCTAGTCCTTAAGCACTTTTCCTATTTTGTGTGACCCTGTTTTACTTACTGTAACTGCAGGTTGCCTCAATTCCTTGGTAGGTTCACATATCTCTTCTTGGATATTTGCATTATCACATAGTGATTAGAAACTCTTACAAATGGTTTGAGTGCCATATTGTTCTCCTTCTAAAAAAGTGAAGGAAAATAGGAATTGTTTTCCTGTTATCTGTTAAT